CATGAAACTGACTTAAGCCAGTTTGTGTCCACAGAGAAATCTGGGAAACTAATGCCATTCTCTCTCCTGTTGACTAGGAACAAGCAATAATTCTGCCCCAGATACTCCAGACAGACATCTCTTGACAGTGAGGGGAACCAAGCTGAGGAAAAATCTGCTCTAGAGAAGTGCAAGAGTGTAAAGAATGCGGGTTGACAACACTGAACAGCCATATTGTTCCCGGTTCCAACTGCACTTCTGGACCTCCAGTTATAAGAGAGCAAACATCTTCTTTAAGCCTGTTGGCTAAAGTCAGCACTTTCTAATGGACGCCAGCTGATAAACAGCATTCACAGAGCACTGTAGTACAATTTCAGATCAATTTTTTCTGTTCCTGAAGCCCTTCTTTTTTATTTTGTTCTTCTGTTTTGTTATGACCTCTGAACTCTGAGCAATACCCAGCCTGAGAAATGATTAAATTGGTGATACTATTATATTACTGTTTATTGGGCATCTATTATATTTCAAGCACTTTCCCCATATTATTGTATTTACTTGCATAGCAACCTGAGCTTAAGGATGCTTGGCCTCATTGTACAGAAGAGGAAACAGATTCAATGAGATTCAGGAGTACAGATAATAAGTGAAAGAGGTGAGGTCTGGGATCTCTCCAGTATGCTTTATATTGGTGAAGAAACTTTTTTTACGGAGTAAGAACTCAACACATTAGTTTAAGCCAAAAAAAATGTTGGAGAGTTAAGTGATCCTGTATCTGAGGATTCTAGCGTCTTCACAGCATCCAAGGTGGGAATCAAGAACTAAGTCGGAGATGGGCTCACAGCCTCCCAGATTCTTATTCTCTGGAAGTTCTCTCATCTCTGTCTCTTCTTGGATTTGTCTCTCTTGCTTGCCCGTAGGCCTTACTCATATGATAAAGAAAGAAAATGCTGACATTCATTCAGTCATCCTAGCAACCAGGATAGAAAGAGAGCTTCTTTTTCCCAGACACCACAAATGAGTCCCAGTGAATCACCTGAATTTGCCTTTCCTGCGCCTTTCACTTATTCATTGTTGCAAAGGAGAGGCAGTGTTAGGTAAGGAAATCATCAACCCAATGAAACAAGTGCTGAACACACTGAAAACAACAGGGGTCCACTGCAAGGTCTAAATCCTTCATTTAACATATGAGGACGTTGAGACCCAGAGAAATTGGTCTTGCCTGCAGGTATACAGGCAGATCTCTCACTCCCATAATCCTTTAGGTTTATGGCTTTGCCGTCTTCCTAATAAGAAGACCCTGGTTAGAGTGGAGCTGTGGGTGTGCATGAAGATGATTTAGAGGGAAAAAACTATGAATGACTTCAATTTTCCTATTAAAATCCAAATAGTCAGATATGTAGTGAATTTATACCACTTCTACATAATAAATGAAGAGCACACAACAACTTTTAAATACTGAACTACATACACATAAGTTTGCTGTGGTTGCTGTAACCAACTGTCACAAACTTCAGGGTTTTAAAATAGCAGGAATAGACTTCTGTGGATGGCATGACAGTGTGAGGAGCTCCACAAATCTACTTTCCAGTGAAACTGGTAAAAACTATTTTAAAAAATTATTTAGGGGAGTGACATCAACAAGGTGACAGAGTAGCAAGCTCCCAAAACTTTGTTCTTCACTCAGGGGATTCCAGTGAACACTGTAGGAAACTCCGCAATGTTTTTTACACTCATACCCTTCCTCCAACCTGGTATAGCAACACAACGGGGAGGAAACCTCCCATACCTGCTCCTCCCTCAGAAATACAGTGGACCATGCATCCAATATTCTGACTTGTCTGGGGGCTGCCTGAGGGATTCGTTTCTATCTCATCTGACTCAGAGCACTAATAGGAACAGCAGCACAGTTCAGAAGTGCTGAGAACAAAGGCCATGGAAGGGGTTCACTAGAGCTGCAGAATTA